AGATCTGGAGAGGTGTTTGAACACTGTGGTGGGCTGTGGAGGGGGCATGCTAGACCTATGAGGACCTGCAGGGATTTGCCAAGGGAGCCCAGGGGCCTCAGCAAGGAAGGTGCCAAGGAGGAGAAGTGAGGTTTGGGGGGCTTGCTAGCCACAGCTGGGGGAGCTGATGGGCAGCGGACCTGGCTCGAGTGGGGGGTGAGGGACTGGAGAGAAAGGCAGTTCCTGATGGTCCCCTCCCCAGGGGCTGGCTTTCCTCTGGTCTTTCCCTCCCAATGACCACGTCATCGCCAAGGCCGCAACCCTGGGCTCGGTGCCTACACTTCCTGTGCCAGGCTGCTGGAGAAGCATCTGTGGCCTTCCCTTGGGCATGGAGCCCTCCCTGCTGCTGCTGTCTGAAGAACTAGTCTACTTTCCCTGGGCTGGCTAGAATGGCAGGGTCCTGCAGCTGAAGTGAGGACTCTTTCTGTGTGGCCTGTGTATATCAGTGGCCTCACCAGCGGCTGGGCATGCAGCCCAGGTTGGCCAAAGCTGAGAGTGCTGGTCTCCTCCTCAGACACCCCAGAGTGACACATTTCTGGTGGACAGCCCTTGGAAGGGCCCTCGTCATGGTGGGCCTTGGGCAGCCTCAGGCTCTGGGCCCATGGGATTCTGACAGGGACATATCTGGGGTTCTCATATCTGGAGGGATCAGCTCCCCTGGGGTGAGGGTACCTGCACCTTCAGGCTATATGGCGGGTGCTGGAATCCCTATCAGCAGCCCCCAGCAGTGGACATCTGGGCCCTGAGGCCCCACACTGTGTCCTGGATGATTCTACTGACCCAGTCATCAGCTGCATCTGATCTGCTCCTGCATCCATGGCTGGGCCCTCACGTGTGATTGCTGCAGCTGTTGTTCTAAGCATCGTCCCAAGAGCTCTCCATAGTGCTTTGTGGCCTGGTTTGCTCCTTGTCATTACCTTTCCCTGCAGAGTTTCCAAGTGGTCTTTGTTCCTGTGGTCAGATGCAGTGAGGTTCTCAGTGTGTGGGCCTCTGTGGGCTCCTGTCTGTGGTGTGTGCTGCCCTCTGGACTCCTCTTGTTTGATGCCTTTGGTCTCTGAAGAATGACTGTGACATGTCCTCAAGGATTGGGATGGAGATGTCTTCCTCTGGAGAGTGCTTTGCTCTGTTGCTGCAGGTGTCTGGGGCACCACCAGCACAGGAGGTTGTTGGGAGCTGGCCGTGGAGGCCTTCCTGAGTGTTAGGGATCCAGGCGGGCTGCGGACCTTGAGACCACCAGGCTGGTTCAGGAGCTGAAGGCCCATTCCCTCCTCCTTTCTTTGTTGTTTTGCATTACCCACTGGCAGGGACTTTTATGATCTAAGCATGATGTTCTGAGAATATGACAGGCATGGCTGACTCTAGAGATCCAGTGTTCCCGTTTCTCACAGACTGTGGTTTCGGCTTTAAACTTAACACAGTTCAAACTCAGATCACATTTGGGAGCCTTATACATAATACAAGCTTCTTTATAAGTATTAAAAAATATATTTATAAAATTAGTATATACATTTAGAGGGCTGTTTCCAGCGTTAGATGGTATAGATTATTATCTAGAGTTACCAGAAATGGCCCAGCACAAACTTTGGGCTGGGCCACATTCTTTAGGAACTGGTTTAAGCCATAATTAAGAGTTGTTTATAGTACAGGTAAAATTAGCACAGATAAGAAAGGTATTAGGATTGTAGTCAGTTATATTACTTTTGAGGAATATAAACCAAGCATGAAGAACAGTGAGATAACTTTGGGATTGTCCTTCCTCATTCCTAGGGAAACGCCTGGTGGGTAGGGGATGCCCCTCACCTACCTGGCTTTGTGTTCACGTGAAAGTCTTGTGATTTGATTGGGATTGTCCTTCCTCATGCTTAAGGAAACGCCTGGTGGGTGG